CATCTGTTCTTTCATTTTAGTGTTTTCAACAGAGGAGCTTTGATATATTTATTTAAAAATATTATAGCAGAAGAAGTTATCTGCACAGGAAAAAATAATTTACTTTTACTGTTTTTTTAACTAAACTGACCAGTTTCTCCAGTAAAATGATTGTGTAATTTAAAGGCACTGAAACACCTAGTTAAATTTAGAAGTTATTTTTGATTAACTACAAACACCTAAAGCTGACTCAGAGACTCTGTAATTTTAGAAAAAAGAACTCTGTGATTTTAGAAAATAATGAAAGTCAAACGTAGACACATTTTTAAAAGAGCGCCCCTCCCCGCACGGCTACAGTCCACTTGCACCTCCACCCTATCTGCATGTGATTAATACTGATTTTTTTTTTTGCGCAAATTACATATTTTTGATGCTCATTATAAAGGTAACCATCTGAAGGGGTTGACATGTGGACTCTGAAGTCCCGGGCTGGTCGGAGCTGCGTTGCAGGTGGACAGGTRCAGCTGCTGCAGTCGCTGCCCCTCACTTTAAAAATAGCYAGGTGGTCTGTCGCGGTTTTGTTGTGCTCGTGAACACACAGTGTTACGGAGGAAATGCTGCAAGGTGTGTTTAGAAATATAATACATGTAAAATACGACGTAATCCTCGGTGGAAAATAGTCCAGGAAACGCTGAGGGCTTTCCCGGGAGGTGTTCACCTGAGCTGAGTGAGGCTGACTCCACACCCACAGAGAAAGGAAAAAAGGCAGCGCTGTCAGTCAGACGGCACGACCCGCCCTTCTCTGTTCTGATTGGGTAAAACTTTGACTGTTGTTCTCTTTATTGGGTGAAAGAACCGTCAGTTTAATCCCTAGACGGCTTTAATACGTTTTTATTTCTCCCGTTCATTTTTACGACGAACACAGATGAACTTTAATCTAGGTTTTTATTCTTGGTTGTCCACCGGACAACCGGGAGGCGGGATTTAGTTGTCTGAAACGTAAACAATGGTTGTGTCAACCCCTGTTTTACGCTGATTAAAAAAACTTCATTCTGAAGGTGTGGCGGCTTTTATTTTGCCATGGCGGTGCGCCACAATCAATTACAGGGGAAACCCTGTACATTGTTTAATAGGAGGGACTACTTTAATCAATTATTGCACTACAGTATAACCTTACCTTTATTTTGATCTTCAGATTGCTATTTTAGGCACTAATCCCAACATTTGAGTAGGGCTGCACCGATTTGTTGAAATAATCGATGACGTCGATTATGTAAATTTGTCGACGTCGATTTTTTTATTATCGATTCGCTGTATTACATAACCACCACGTGAATGTTCATGCAATTCCATTTCGGTACCTAAATGCATCATTGCGACCG